CTATAGTCCAACTACAGACCTACCACAGTATCCATCTATAGCTTGGACTTTTGAGAACCTGTGCTCGTATCTCGTTGATCCCAGCACGTTGTGCGAATGGGGGTTTAAGGTATTCCGAGTAGAAACCTGACAGTGGCTGTACTTATCGAGCTTCGGCTTCGCATTGTCCTGCCCCTCCCCTCCCTGTTTATAGGTTTTCGATTTCGAGTTTCCGATTCTATGTCCTGTGTAGTGCCCAGACCTAATCAATAGTTCAGTCTACCGGGGCATTCCTTTGGTTTTAGTAAAAATAAGGTTTTCATGGACACGTCTGAGTTAAGAGGCAGATCAGTCGAGCAACGGAGGAATTTGTCTGTTATTCTGAGCTTTCGAACTCGTGCAAAAGTCTATCGTCAGAGGTAGTACAAACGCAGCAAATAGCTGCACTCATGGATGTACAAGCCAGTTGGCAATCTATAACGCAAATCTGGAATTGATTCCGTGGCAACAGTAGCTTATGTAGGCTCACTCATTTATCCCTACTCCCTGCATGTTTTCCTACAAAAACGGTGGTTATAAGGTTTTGTGGGTGGGGAATTAGGACACCCAGTGGAATATACTTTAATAAATGCTAAATCTATTTTTATTTTACTACATTTAGAAGTGTTGTTGATTTATATCTATAGATTTTCCTAATCTGTATTATTGTTTAACTTATTGCGGAAAGAGCCGATTATCAAATTGCAGGTTACTTGAACTTCCCGAAAAATTGAAATGGTGGTTAAGAGATCGCCTACTTCAACTTACTTGAGGTCCAATTTACCGTTCTGGAGTTAGATTAGTATAATCCGCGGCGCCTCGCGCCGCCGCACACCTTCAATTTACATGCCGAACAACGTACTCCTAGCGGCTGCGGGAAGCAACTTCGACTACATTCTTTTCACTTAACATTTTCTTCTAAACATTTTCTTCTCTGCCTATCCTATTTCCCCACTCCTTAAAACTCTATAATCACCGTTTTTGCAGGACAAAATGCTGGAAGTAGGGTCATATGAATGGACCTACATAAGTTACTTTTGCCTATTCTGTAATGTTATATACGCTGACACCAGATCGGTTGATTAACTTCCAAACCGAAATCAAGGCTGTAATAAATTCTCGACAATTATCTTAATCTTTGCAACCTTCTGAATCTATGGCCCGTTTCGTATGTCTGGACAGGCATTTGGACCAAATTCGTCCTTCTGTCGCACAGCTAGCTTAGGTTCATGTAAACGTGATCTGAGCATGTGCTTAGTCGGGCCTGTGTAGTTACAAGGGCAGTTTAGGCATGTGATGCGATAAACTTCCCCGGATTGCTCTGGGTCCGTCCGAAGGAGCATGAGTTCAAAAACTCGGAATAATAAGCTAATTTTCCCGTTGCTCGACCAGTCTCCCTCTGTATTCCTACAGATCCCGGAACTCGAAATTGCGCATCGAGTCCTGGTAATGTCCATCCAGTCAAGCATTTATTATTGCCTTAACTCTGCTTTTGCCTAATATTATCACCGGAGTCCAGTGAGAGGGAATAGGTTACTAATGGTGTCTCGGATTCTTCACCTATTCGACAATGATAACTATCGAATTTGATAGACCAGTAGCATGCGCTTGTATTTCTGACTAACGATGTTATTAATTGTAATGACACCGCACAAGATTATGCCTACCATCCTTGCCTCTTGTTCTGTCTTTCGCTACCAGGTGTCTTCGACATTGGTGTGGCTGAGTTTAAGTGTGATACCCGACGCACCACGGAGATCCTGGACATTCCGCACGCTTGGTACCGCAGCAGTTTGGCGCGTGCCCTTTTTATCGGCCAGACCGCAACTATGGAAGGTAAGCCCTCATATTTCATCCCCCTCCCCTGGTAGTTACTAACCCTTTTAATTGCTATTTTGAATGTGCGTTCTAGGCAAGTGTCTGGATAGTAGAATTTTTCGAACTGGCAAGTTCACTGGTCTCTCCGTATAAAGTCTGTGTTGGCTTCGCCTCTTGGACACAAGTGGGTGTATTATTTCAAATTATAAGGTGTTGTTATGTCCCGGAATAATAGGCAGACGAAAGACAAACAGCTGGTTCTGGTGGCCAGGGCCTTATTCAGGACAACACAAAGACAACGGATTTTCCAGCTTGCTCACCCCAGCGTATTTACAAGGTTTTGCTCCTTCTGGAACAATCCTGGCCTATGGTGTGCGACCGGTGTTCTGGCCTGCACGCTGAGTGATAGTTCCTCACGCTGTGTGAACAGTCGTTTGCGCATGCTGTTCGTCTGTGCGCCTGACTCAACTGGCCTGCGCTTCTGGCCATAGGTCCTGGGTGCACTGCCGCTCGTGCCCCAGTAACAGTTGCTACAGTGCAAAGCGTTATTTCCGAATCCCTGGAAATATGTATGCGCTACCAGGGGGGCTATTGATAACCACGCAGACGGAGTAAGGCAGTGCTGTTTCGTGTCTAATCTACTCCTGTTAAACCAATCATTTCGACCCAAGATTGAGACTACAAATACCACCTCGGAGGACGAAGACACTGAGGAGCAAACTAGCACCTCAACAGCAACATGCATGCAAACCCGCTAGCAACTGCAGCTTATGAGGAAAAAGACCTTTAAAACAGTTAGGAGATTGTGAAACATGCCATCTGCACGACTGTCAGCGTGGCTCACGGGGTTAACGTACGATGTTGTGTCTTAATCCAGCAGTTAATCTTCTGCTCTCTGTCTTTTAATTTGAAGGTATGGAGCCTGGGGTTGCTCCAGCACAGACGGCTGACGAGGAGAGTCTTCCCAGCTTCCGACCGGAAGAAGAGGACGAAGCTTCAATGGTCAGTGATACTTCCTCGCGGGCTGAACGAATTCGCCGACCTTCGCCGGCCGCCCCCACTCGGCCCTCCATCATCGCGTCCGACAATCCCCTCGGGTCATGGCTCCAAAAGACTAGTCAAGCCTCTCGCCGTAGGCACCTGCTCGATATCTATGTTATCTTACTGTATCATACACTCACTGTACGCTAGCTTACCGCTTTTGGGTTGTTTTTGTTTTGGCAGGCAAATTTCGTCGTAATGCCGGCACTACTGGAGCGCAGCCCTCTGTGGTCTTTCGACAGTCACCCGTCCCCAGCCAATCAGCTGCAGCCATGGAGGAAGCCCGACGACGCAGCGCGACTACACCTCACGAGGCGCCCTCTGCCTGTGAGTCTTTCCCCGCTGGTGGCGTCTCAAATACTACTACTTTACCGCCAAGAATGTCATCTGCAGCACCCAGTCAAGGCGGCAGTCTCGGCGTCGTCTCCTGGCAGGCTCTGCCCATCTTCTATGTAAATATCAGTCAGCTGGACGTGGAAATGTACATTGGCAGTGCAATGGGCCTGACACGGTGCGTCCTCCCAGCCTTTTTTTTTCAAGACTTAGTTTCCATTTGCAACCTGCTCATCGGTCTTCCGATTTGTTTCGACGACTAGTGTCCTCTTCCTTAACCACGATCCTTTCCTTCTCTAAGCAAGACTGAAAAATGTCAATATAAAAACGATTTTTGTTCCAAACCAGCCTTATTAAACCGCTTACGTAAGCGCCCTCGAGATGGGTGCCACCACAACTGTTATGCATACTTATTATCTAAATGCCGAAAGATTCGGGGTCCAGATATGTTATCACGTTCATCATCTCCCAAAGGTAGGGGAGAAGAAGAGGGAGCGGGTTCATAAACCAAATTATTTTCGAACCGACGTTTCGAAAACCTTCTCGCTTCCATCGTCAGAGTTTTGTGGTAGTTGAGTCTGGTGGTCTTGAGTTAGTCCGCCTTGTCGTCTGCCTTAAATTATATCGGTGTTGGACGTGTGAACTTTGACCTGCCCGTTCGTTGCCGACCCCATTTGGTCGCCCG